GCAGCTTCTGCTGCGGCCTGCTGACGTGCTGCCTCTGCCTCTGCCAGCTGGCGTTGAATCTCCTGCTGGCGGGCGGCTTCCTCTTCTTCCCACTTGCGTTGTTTAGCGGCCGTCGTCTCAGAATACTTCTGGAGACAGTCTAGGAACGCTAGGAGCGGTTCATCAGCCTGCTGAACTGGGAGAGGAGGTGGAACCGGCCTATTGGGGCTGGTTGGTGCACTCTTGTCAGAGGTGGCAGCCATGGTCGTGCGTCGCTTGCGCGGGATTCGCGATGCCTTGGGTCCCGGTTAGGGCTTGGCTGCCTTGGACTCGCGTTCTGCCAATCGTAGGCTGCGGCGCATTTAGTGTCCGGCTGCACGTTGCTGTTGACGCGGCACTCTGCTGACGTGGCACTGTACTGACGTGGCACTCTGCTGACTCGGCACTTGCGTGTCCCTCTGCTGATGTGTCGCTGACCTGTCACGCTGCTGATGTGGCACCTCTGCTGACGTGTCCGGAGACTGCAGTTTGTAGGACCGAGAGGAGAAGAGAAGGTTGGGTGAGGAGGAGGGGCAGAGAGGCACACAATGCACAGACAGTCCCTGTGTCTCCTGACCTCGAAATCTGGTACTAATCAAAGGGGGAAAAAAAAAAATTCCCCCCCCCCGAACGAATTTTCAGATTTTGGGAAATTAAATACAATTTTAATCGACAAATAGGAATTAATAAATTTTAATTTTGGTACCTGATTAACGAAATATTTAACTTTGCAACTGTTTATTCACAAAGGTTAAATATGTAATCGAAATATTTTAGATTTGCATCAATAAAAGAAATGAATAAGTTTACGCAAGTTTAAACATTTAGACATAACTTCGAAAATTTTACGAAATTTCGTCGGAAGTTATAGCATCATCACGAGGTCACTTCAGATAGTAGAGATGATAGCTAGCAGGAAGATACACAATTCGCTGGAAAGATTCAATCTTTCGATCGCAAAAAGATGCAGTTTTCAAAAAGTGAAAGTTCCGTGAAGTTGCAATTCGCATATGGTCTAGCTCAGGCCCGATCAGCCTTGCTTGGCGCGGTGCCTGGCTGGCACTTACTCTCGATAGGTTAGGTAGGTCGTTTAGATTAGGTTAGGACTAACCCTAATTAGCGCTAATTAGGTTTTACCCGTAATTAGGAATTCCTAACTGCGTAATTCGAGAAAAATCGCAAAACCTAAATTTTCGATTAGGACTAACCCTAATTAGCGCTAATTAGGTTTACCCGTAATTGGTAATTCCTAATTGCGCAAGATTGAGAAAAGTTGCAAAACCGAAATTTGAACATCCTAATCCTACAAAAATGCACGAAAAGAAAAAGAAAAAAAAATTGCAACTTGCGATTTTAATGATAACAGAGTGCAGGAAAAGATAATCAATCAATCAATCAATCAATCAATCAATCAATCAATCAATCAATCAATTAATGGTGAGTCATCCAATGCTGGTCTGCTCCGATACCAAACTGTTGCATACTTGTGAAACACAGTCATAAGTATGGCGCAGATTCCCCGAACCGACCAGATAATACAGAGTTGATACAAATACAGCGGAAGGGCATGATACCTTTGGATTGACTCAGACCTGACTCGGACTGCAATCGAACAACTCTCATACATTCATCGGGTGTGAATGCCCTGGCCTTGGGGAGAGACGAAGGGCCAGGGACTGGAATCATACACGGACGAAGGGGGGAGAGGAGAGAGGTGAAGGAGGAGGAGAGGGAAGATGATGTCAACTCAATGTTTCCAAAGATAGTAACTTGAACTGTCAGAAGTGACGAAAATCCGAAATGTTGTGAATACCAAGTCTCACAATCGCCCAGAGGTCGATCTCACAATGTCAAGTACATCTCCGAAGGAGAGATGGAATCAGATCCCGAAATAGTCCTCAACTCGTTCTCTCACTGTCGCAGTCTCAAATGTCATCAGAAATCGTAACCATCTCCATTACTGTAGTAGAAGTCCTGTAGGAGGAGTAGACTTAGACTTGAGAAGGTAGGGAGAAAAAGAGAGAGAGAGAGAGCCGAGGCAGATGGAACAGAGGGAGAGAAGGCAGAGCCTTCCTCCCGGTACCTGCTGGTAGCTATGGCGCGGCTGGGCCGCTGCGCTGTTCCTCTTGC